TTTCTGAACAGTTGTTTAATGCTCAACAATTGCATAACATTTGAGAAAGAAAGTGCCTTAGGCCTTTGCTAACCCAAACCCAGCTTCCTAAAGCCTTAGGCAGAGAAAAGCCTGTATAACCCTGTTAATTAAAATTATTTTAATTCTTTCACTTAGAAGGGCTGTCCTCATTCCTAGACAGAGCAGCTTTGCGACCAAGTCATTTTTCTCCATCAACTTGCTGAATTCTCACTTGCTCAGAGATAAGCTATTCACCTGGGCAGCTCCTGTTGTGAGTCTCAGAGAAGCCCTTTGTTATGCCCTTATGTATAAAAATTCTCATTGATTATTGATCAGGTGACAGAATGCATATAAATGCATGGCACTTTGAACGTCAAAGGGTTCTTTCTCACCTTCTTTTCCCATTAAATCAGTGTTTCTCAACTTGAAGAGGTGTGGACTTCAACTCCCAGTCTTGCTGGCTGGGGAATTCTGGGAGTTGAAGTCCACACCTCTTCAAGCTGCCAGGGTTGAGAAACACTGCATTAAATGAACAGTGACTTGCTTCTGATACAATCTTGCATATGGTTACTGTACTCTGGAAGAGGCAAATCAGTTTTGAGGAAACATGAATTGAGCTATCCATAAATATTCCTGGATGTTATTTGTATCCATTGTAAACAATATTAATTTTTTTTTTGCATTAAAACTATGTTAAAACAGTGGTGGAAAATATGTTTCCCATGAGCCACATCCCATAATGGGGAAGTGTTTTTAAATCATACGGTGGTGAGGCTGTGGTCAAAGGGAGTTCAGGAAAAGGGGAGCAGGCATCAGAATGGCACTATGTGGGTGTGGGGTCTGGGGGGAGCTCTTTTCAACACTGTTTTCTCCTTCTCGTGCATTGGTTATCACCTCTGTATTTTTTTCTTAATTTGTTTTTTTTTTTGCCTGTGATGTGTGTGCGTGCCTATCTGTACCCATTTATATTAATGTTCTCCTGTTATCAACTTCAGAGATTTGTTTTGAAGTAGAAAAAGTGGAATATATATGTTTTCAATAAATCAGTTTTCATTGCCACTCATTATGGCAGAAAGAGAATTCGTACTTGTCAGCTTAAAGCATTCAATTTTATGAACACTCCAGCTTGCATTGTAAGATCTAAATTAACAGAAAACGTGGATTTGAGAGTTTGAGCATCAAGGGGATATTATGTATAATCAAACTATGATGTGCTAGATCTGGTAATTAATTAAATTGTTGAAGAGGTTGCTGAGGAGAGAATGCTCCTAGTCTTTAAAACTGGATATTCAGATTGTATTGTAGTTTCTCAGGTATCGCACCTGTTTCAGTATGATTTCCTTCTAAGTGGATGTATCTAAGGTGGCAACTATGCAAACTTTTTTTTCTCTTCAGCCTACATAAATAATTCTCAAAACATCCTGTCCTTTGTCCTGGAAAAGCGGAGATCTGAACATTGTGGGTGTCAAGTTGCGCAAAAACATCTGATCATTCCCAACTCATAATGTTTACTTTGTGTTAACAAATTCCCTCCCTGTTTTTATTCCCAAACAGCTGCCAGCTCAAAGTCAGCCTCCGGAGATGCTTCACTCAGCATCGAGGACACAAAGTGAGTGAATGAGACCAGGAAACTGGCATTCCCTCTATTTTATTGATTTATATTTCAAATTTGGTCACCACCCATCCAGCTAGGAAGTGATTCTGGGCAGTTTACAGTAAAAACAAGAATAAATATTAATTAAAATAATTTTATTGGGTCATCAACCCAATAAAATACAATAAAAACCATTTTCGTACATAAATATTGATATCTTCCGAGGATATTAACCTACAGGAGCATCTTCAAGGTGCCAGCCACACCCAGGGTCAGTTGCCCCTCTTCTCGCCCCACGCAAGTTGGCA